CAAATCCGTTCAAAGATCCGACTCTTGACTTTTTTTTTCGCTTCTTCTTCCTTTTCTCTTCCTTTTTCCTTACTTAATCCTCTTCTGCTTAACAGTGACAGCAACTCCATTCATGTAACCCGTAACCTGACTAAGGGAGTGCGCCAACCGGACCAGTTTCGCAGCCGTGCACAACCCGACTGACCCTGGTACGCAGCGAGCTCGGTAGTGGGAATCCCTAGGTGGCCAATCCGATACCACACCTGCAGTACTCTAAGCGCCTCTGAGCAGGGAGTCAGGTACGTAGCGGAGGGTCGGGAAACCGCGCCCTCCGACATGATACCAAACCCCCGCCCAGCGTCCCCGCTGGGCTAAACAAGACAGTGGGCAGTATAAAAAAAGAAGTCAATTGTTAGTACTCTCCCACTCATTTTCACTGCATATCTCAGTGAGGTTCTCACAGAGCGAACCTACGCTAGTACTTTTCTCTTTTGCAGCGCACTTTTTCTTTCTTTACCGGGCAACAGAGATCTGCGTGGTCCATAGTCGTTCCCCTCTTTCTTCTCTAGTAGTATACTCCTCTTTCTCCTGAAGTGCTCCCTCAGCCTCGATCTCCATCGCCATGCGTCTCTTTTTCTTTTCAAGATTCTTCTTTCACTATGCCTGAGGCATGTAGGGGACAAGGAAGAGGAAGAGGTGGTAGGACAGGGAAGGTGCGTGACGAGCCACCAACTCGTGCATGAAGCGAGTAGAGTTCAGAAGAGGAGGAGGAGGAAATGCAAGGATATGACTCTTATGTGAGGTCATATCAGCGCCAGCCTTTCGTAGGCTGGTATGAGAGAACTCCATCCCCTACGAGGATGGAGCATTTTCGAAAGAAATTTGAGGCGCGCTATGGCGCACCAGGCACCTCTTCTCCCCCTTACTCACTTAGGGCTCCTACCACTCCGGTGGCAAGCAGAGCCTTAGTACCCACAGCACCACCTCCTATACCATGCATAATTCCTCCTCTTACCCCGTTCAATAGTTGTTTCCTCTGCTGCATTTTCTTCCTTCTTTCTCTGCTTCAGATAAAATTCATGGTCATCTTTTATCTCTTGCATAAGCACGTCATCCTTTCCCTGAACTTCTGAGTCTTTTTCTTTTCTTGACTTTCCATTTCATTCCATAGCGTCCCTCGCTTAAGAGTTTGAGTACCTTAAAGCCGGGGATGCAGGTTCCTTGTGAAGCAGGCGGCTTGTCGGCCACCAAATAAATTTAAGAAGGATTTCATCTCACTTTCTCACTTTTTGTTGATTTGACTTGCCGCTGAGGAAGTTACTCTGTTCCTTGCTCAGATAGTGATGCCAGAGATGTCCAAATGACGAGAATACTCACTCTGTCTGCCATGCTGGGAATAGGGCATACCAAACCCCGTTCTTTCTCTCTGGTCTGAGCGAGGCACACTCACTTCTCAGACAAATAAAAGGGGATACCAAACCCCTTTTCTTTTTTATGGCCTTGGAGTTCTTGAAATGTCTGTGTGATCAAAACAACAAGTCCCTCAATCCCAACATACAGACTCCCTGACAAGCAATCATCAATAAGCAATTAAATAAAAATAAATAAATATATAAACCCATAATAAAATAATAAACAAACATAGACAGTTTTTCATACTCGAGAGTCATTGATTGCCTTAATTTTGACCCCCCACTGGCCAGGAATGACAGACCTCCCGTCAGTCTGACATACCTCATTCGGCCCGCCTCAGGCTAAGACTAATCAGACAATTTGTCTTGACAGCCCCTTCAACCTGCCTCCAGGTCAGGACCACCATACCCACTACTCGACTATGGCAACCCATTGGCACTCTCGCCAGGACACCCGGACTATAGCAGGTCTGGTCACCCTATGACAGTAGACCTCCCGTCAGTCAAACTGTCCCGAACCTGGATTTGACCACTGCGGTTGGGGACCGGCTCACCCACCAGTTTTTGGCCTAGGGCGCTGGCTGCCCCGCCCATATTTTAAAACGTGGGACCCGGTCTAACCACGGTTCCAGGCTCTGGCGAACCTCACTAGATTGCATCCTCTGACTGCGGTAGGGTTCCAGCTGACCCCTTTTGACCTCACTGGCCAGACCCCCGGAGTCTTAGCCTCAGTCAACTACGGAATTCGACACTCGCGTCGGGGACCTGCTGACCCCACTAGTTTGCAACCTACTCTAGTAAGGCTCTGGCTGGCTCCGGCAACCAATGCACCCTCAAGCTAGAGAAGAGAAAATCTCAAGCACACACAATCAGACAAGCATCTCGAATCCACAATCAAGCATTCCATGCCCCAAGTAACAGGACAAATGTTTCTCAAGAGACGTCCCTTCAGTCTCAAGAGGCACTAAACAGCAATAAACGACAACCAACAATGCACTTCCCAGAAACCTCCCTTCAGCCTCAGGAAGTACAAAGTGCCGATCCCAGAGAAGTCCCTTCCTTCATCTGAGAATACTCCCAAGAGACCTTCCGCCAACCTGAAGGAAGTATAGAAACGCTGAAATGTTGATTCCAGAGAGGTCCCTTCCTCATCTGAGACAAAAGATAGGCAACTTAGTCAAGAAATTCTAAGTCCCCAGGCTGACAACTCTCTGGTCAAGCAAGGTTGAACTTCTTTATGCACATCTCCTTGATAGTTCTCTTGGACAGGCAGCTTAGTCAGAAGACACGAAGTCCCTCTACAGACAACAATCTAGTCAGGTAGAGTTGAACTCCTTTTATGCCCGTCAGATTTTTTTTCATCATGAGATCAAAATTGATTACTCTTTTGATGTTCCACAACCACGAGTTCTCTAAACTTAATATCTCTGCAACTGCACTTTACAGTTATTTCCCTCCTCAGGTATCTGATGCTCGTGGACCGACTGCGGCTTAACATTCTTGACACCTTGATCTCATTGATTTCGTCGCTTATAAAGAATAATAAAATCTGCTCAGATACAAAAACGAATACAAATCATCTGAAAGGTCTCTCTCAACTCCTTTGTGACAAAATCTGAGATGCTAAAGATTGACACACTGACATGATCATACAGGAGTAATCAATATCTGTTGAAACTTTAGTCCCTGCAATGCCTTGTTGTCTCACAGTACTTTCTCTTAATCTTCTGGAACTGTTTTCTTACTATGTGATTGTCCTTTCTTTCCTTTCTTTCTGGTCATTCTGGGAACTAGGTCAGGGTCTCTGAAGATGAACTTACAGAGTCTTGATCCTGACACCATGTCATGAACTCTAGAGTCATCCAACTCTGAAATCTCATAGATTTTGCCCTCTCCTTCTCCTGTAATCTTGTAAGGACCGAGCCATCTAGGCTCCAACCGTTTAGTCCATTGAGTCTCGAGAGAGTTATCAAAGAAGAGGACTAAGTCACCGATTTTTAATTTCTTTTTTCTTATGTACCTCTTCTTGTTCCATCTTTCTTGGTCTGACAGTCTACTGGTTGTCATCCTCTCATTGTTTCGGAAGGGGGCACTAGTTTCGAAAGCGCGCACTAGTTTCGGTTTTCACAACTTTTAGGATGTTATAGGTTCCGAGGATCGATCTCTGAACTTCAGCCGATTGTTTCGGCACAGGATGATGATATTTGTAGAGGGATTGGATTTGAACATTGGTCTATTCAATTTACTATTTTGGCTTGTGGGCCCCACGGATGTGATGGGCCTTGTGCTATGAGTTGTTATGAGAAATGCGGGGCATCTGGCCTCGAACCGGTGATGTAGACTTTCAGACAAGACGCTTTGTAGCTGGTTCTTAGTGATTGGTAGTGGGACTCTTTGGGCAAGGACCTGAGGAGACTTGAGTTGTGGACCTGTGAGTTAGCTGTTGGTAGATACCTCCTTCGGTGACTTTGGTTGGACCTAGTGACTTCGGGTGTTGTCTTCTACTATATATCGTCCTTTTGGCACATCGTTTGGCACTTGACTCATGACGACCCCTGATGATTCCGGAATCGACTCCGGATGAAACACTTAGGGTCTGGCCGGAGTGTTGACCCTGTATTGCTCGACATGGACATGACGTCCATTTTCGGGTTCAACTTGTTGGCGGGTTTTACTTTTATAATTTATGGAGCCATCTGTCGCGTTCGGGAGACATCGATGTGTCAGTCTCTTCCTCTTCTTCCTCCCACTTCTTACCTTTTCTCTTCTTCCCTTCTTTCTTTGCATGAATGTCCTTTTTCTTTCACTTCTGATGGTCGTCATGTTTAAGTATGTAGGCCAATTGGCCGTGTCTATGGATGTTGACGATTTTTTGTTTAGGGTTTAGGCTGCATGCCGTTGTGGATTGCTCTTACGATTATTTGTGGCTAACGGATGTATGCGAGTTCTCTCAACATCATCCTCACGATTTGGAACCATCGTAGCAATCATTCTACGTGTGTGTGACTCGTTGAATTAGTCACTTATTTTCGTTCGTTCGTGCTTCCTATGCTGTTTTTGTGTGCACTTTTTGCGTTGTGTTGGTGCTTTGTTGACAACGTCGGTGATGGCTGGGAATCTCAATAGGGATGGTTGTTTCCAATGTGGCTCAATGAATCACTGGGTTCGAGAATGCCCGCATCTTGGCCCTTGCTTTCGCCCACCTGCCACGGGCGCCAACGCTGTTCCGACTGGGCCTCCGATTTTGGCGCTGCCTGCTCCGGGCCCCTCTGCTACGGGTTCAACTTCTAATAACGCTGCCTCCTCCGCTTCCTATGGTCCGTCCTCTTATAACTTTAGAGCTGGTAATACTGTGGGGGCTGGCAATGGTTACCAGGCTCGTCCTAACTTGTGGGCATGTAATCAGGAAAGGCTCGATAAGGTCTATGGTAAATACGTGGAAGATACTGATCGGGAAGCAAAAAGAAGGAGGAGGAAGCCAGAGAGAAGGCCAAAAGAGAAGAGGAGGAGAAATTGGCAGCATGGAAAATGGAGCGTGAGAAGTTTGAGGCGTCAATGGGTGAGCGATTAGAAAAGAGGTTGGAGGCGTTAGGTATTGGTAAAGGGAAATCAGTGGAAGTGGTCAGCGGGGACTCTGCTATGGAGGAGGCCGCTAGACTATGAAAGGAGAATGAAGACTTGAAGCGCAAGTTGAGTGAAGCACTGTGCCATGTTGGTTATGACCGAGTTATGTATTTGCAGAACAAAATCGTGGAGCTGCGTTGCAAGGTTGCCGAGAAGCAGGTCAATGAGGATGTGATTGCTGCCTTGAAGACCGAGATTTGTGAGCTTAAGCAGTCTGCCTTTATGAAGACCAATTCCGAACAAGAAATTGCGGGGTTAAGGAAGGAAGTCAATCCTCTGCGGGATCAAAATGAGCGTGTTGTTCTGGAAATTGGGCAATGGAAGGAACAAGCCCTTCGTCCGGGCAACAAGCGGGGCAGTGTGGTGTTGCAGACACCGGATGTTTCCAATCGAGGTTCACCTAAACCAGGATGGACGGATAATGTAAGGGAGGAAGGTAAATGGAAAGCAGAATATAGGAATATTCAGAGTCTGCATCGTCTGGCCAACATTGAAGTCGAGGCGCTCAAGGAAAAGCGGGTTGAAGGGGAAGCTCGTCGAATGGAGGCAGAAAAGCAGGTCAAGGTTTTGGAGGAGAAGATGGGACAGTTGATGGTTAGTGGGGAGAAAGGTAATGGGAAGA